GCCGCCTCCGGTCAGACGTTTGCCTCGTCCGGTTCAGGCTTCCCTCGACTCTTTGTACAGTTACGGGGGGAACAGGCCCGGGGGGGTGGGAGAGCGTGTCCCTGCTGCCGTGCCGCCCTCCCCTCCTCGGCACCGTTCCTACGCCGGCATCTCTGTATCCATCAGCAGCCGGATACTGGGCTGGCCGCTGCGTCTGCTGGGGGCAGCGAGCGAACTGCGGGAGTCCCGAGCTGCGGGAGCTCCTCCGGAGAGCCTCGCTCCGCGGGGGGGAGCGGGTGGAGGTTGCCTTCCTGGGCCGCAGGCTCCATGTGGTGCTTAGAAAAATACCGGCAGTTCTGTTTCTGGTGCAGGTGGAGGGTCTCATTCGCTTGCGACCTGCTGCCGCCGAGCAGTCCTGACGCGTTCTCCTCTGCCTTTTCAGGTATGGCCTCACAGCTGCAGGTGTTCTCCCCTCCGTCAGTATCCTCGAGTGCCTTCTGCAGTGCCAAGAAACTGAAAGTGGAGCCCTCTGTCTGGGATGTTTCAGGACAGAGCAGTAGCGACAAGTATTATACCCACAGCAAAAACCTCCCAGCAGCTCAAGGGCAAGCAAGCTCCTCTCATCAGGTAGCCAATTTCAGCATCCCCGCTTACGACCAGAACCTCCTTCTCCCTGCTCCTTCAGTCGAGCACATCGTGGTCACAGCGGCCGACAGCACAGGCAGCAGCGCAACAGCCTCCTTCCAGAACAGCCAGGCCCTAACGCATAGGAGCAACGTTTCTCTACTGGAACCATACCAAAAATGTGGATTAAAAAGGAAAAGTGAAGAGGTTGACAGCAACGGTAGTGTGCAGATAATCGAGGAACATCCACCTCTCATGCTGCAAAACAGACCTGCGGTGGGTGCTGCGGCCACAACCACCACGGTAACCACTAAAAGCAGCAGTTCCAGTGGAGAAGGGGATTACCAGCTGGTCCAGCATGAGATCCTGTGCTCTATGACTAACACCTACGAGGTCTTGGAATTCCTGGGCCGAGGGACGTTTGGGCAGGTGGCGAAATGCTGGAAACGTAGCACAAAGGAGATTGTAGCCATCAAAATCCTGAAGAACCATCCTTCCTATGCCAGGCAGGGCCAGATAGAGGTGAGCATCCTCTCTCGCTTGAGCAGTGAGAATGCTGACGAGTATAACTTTGTTCGCTCCTACGAGTGCTTTCAACACAAGAATCATACATGCCTTGTATTTGAGATGCTGGAACAGAACTTGTATGATTTCTTAAAGCAAAATAAGTTCAGCCCGTTGCCCCTGAAATATATTCGGCCAATTCTGCAGCAAGTGGCTACTGCCTTGATGAAGTTAAAGAGCCTGGGTCTGATACACGCCGATCTGAAACCAGAAAACATCATGTTGGTGGATCCCGCGCGCCAGCCCTACAGGGTGAAGGTGATCGACTTCGGCTCGGCCAGCCACGTCTCCAAGGCCGTCTGCTCCACGTACCTGCAGTCGCGCTACTACAGGTGAGGGGCGGGCAGCCGGGGCTGTGCTGGCGGGGCGCGGGGGCTCTGCTGCTCAGGCACTGAACTCTCCTGCCGGGAGGTCTTCCCCCGGCGGGGGGCAGAAGGAAATGACCAGCCTGTCCCCTGGTCTGTGTGTTTTACGGAGATTTCTGCTGAGATTTGTGTGTGAATAAACAGAGCTTCTGCCGTGATGGTGTGACGTCACGAGCGGCCCAAGGCCTGCCTTTTACCCCAGGTTAGTGCAGTCGGGTGATGTCACCCCCTCGCTAGTTTGTGGTGACATATGAAGTAGCAAACCTGGGAAGCAGTGTGCTACCAGTG